AAGTATTTGAGTTTCATCTTCACTATCTGGCCTTCTAAAGAGCAGTCAGGGTTGATCTCCTCTAGGACTGACCGGTTTGATCACCTTGCAGTCCAAGGGACTCGCAGGAGTCTCCTCCAGCACCACAATTCAAAGGCCTCAATCCTTTGGTGCTCAGCCTTCCTTATGGTCCAGCTTTCACAGCCATACATTGCAACTGGGAAAACCATAGCCTTGACTATACGCACTTTTGTTGGCAGGGTGATGTCTCTGCTTTTTAGTATGCTGTCTAGATTTGCCATAGCTTTCCTCCCCAGGAGCAAGCGTCTCTTAATTTCTTGGCTGCAGTCCCCATCTGTGGTGATCTTGGAGCCCAGGAAAATAAAATCTGTCACTACCTCCATTTCTTCCCCATCTATTTGCCAGAAAGTGAGAGGACTGGATGCCATGATCTTAGTTTTCTTAATGCTGAGTTTTAAGCCAACTTTTGCACTCTCCTCCTTCACCCACATCAAGAGGCTTTTTAGTTCCTCTTCACTTTCTGCCATTAGAGTGGTATCATCTGTATATCTGAGGTTGTTGATATTTCTCCCAGCAATCTTAATTCCAATTGGAGATTCATCTAGCCCCACCTTTCTCATGATGTGCTCTGCATATAAGTTAAATAGGCAGGGCAACAATATACAGCCTTGCCGAACTCCTTTCTCAATTTTGAACCAATCAGTGGTTCCGTGCCCAGTTCTCACTGTTGCTTCTTGACCCGCATATAGGTTTCTCAAGAGACAAATAAGATGGTCTGGTACTCCCACCTCTTTAAGAACTTGCCTCAATTTGTTGTGATCCACACAATCAAAGGCTTTAGCATAGTCAATGAAGCAGAAGTAGATGTTTTTCTGGAACTCCCTAGCTTTCTCCATGATCCAGTGTATGTTGGCAATTTGACCTCTAGTTCCTCTCCCTCTTCGAAACCCTGCCTGTACTTCTGGTAGTTCTTGGTCCACATACTGCTGGAGCCTAGCTTGTAGGATTTTGAGCATAACTTTGCTAGCATGTGAAATGAGTACAATTGTGTGGTAATTTAAACATTCTTTGGCATTGCCCTTCTTTGGGATGGGAATGTAAACTGACCTTTTCCAATCCTGTGGCCACTGCTGAGTTTTCCAAATTTGCTGGCATATTGAGTGTAGCACTTTTACTGCATCGTCTTTTAAGATTTTGAATAGCTCAGCTGGAATACTGTCACCTCCACCAGCTTTGTTGTCGCTCAGACTTCCTAAGGCCCATTTGACTTCACATTCCAAGATGTCTGGCTCGAGGTCAGTGACCACCCCATCGTGGTTATCAGGGACGTTAAGCTCTTTCTTGTCTAGTTCTTCTGTGTAATCTTGCCACCTCTTCTTAATCTCTTCAGCCTCTGCTAGGTCCCTGCCATTTTGGTCCTTTATCATGCCCATCTTTGCATGAAATGTTCCCTTCATATCTCCAATTTTTCTGAAGAGATCTCTGGTCCTCCCTATTCTATTGTTTTCTTTTATTTCTTTGCACTATTCATTTAAGAAGGCATTCTTATCTCTTCTAGCTATTCTCTGGAATTCTGTATTCAGTTGTGTGTATCTTTCTCTTTCTCCCTTGCATTTTGCTTCCCTTCTTTCCTCAGCTATTTGTAAAGCTTCCTCAGACAGCCATTTTGCTTTCTTGCATTTCTTTTTCTTTGGGATGGTTTTAGTTGCTACCTCTTGTACAGTGTTGTGAACCTCCGTCCATAATTTTTCAGGCACTCTGTCTATCAGATCTATTTCCTTAAATCTACCCTTAAAAGGCTAGAGAATGTACCAGGTCTAGAAGAAAGCTGCATTTTGTCTTTTTGCTTTATCCTCATATGAACTTGGTTGTATTTGAGTCTTCTCAGGGCAAATTGTATAAGGCACACTCATCTCCCAAGCACAAAGGAGACAGAGTCTTATGGGTCATCTGATCTGTTCCTCAGGCATTGTTGTTTTTTGTGTCTCCTGTTCTTAGGCAGCCATGTCTTAATACCAGTTTTTCCTTTGGGACAGTATGGATTCCCTTCTTGCTATTTTACCAAACAACCAAGGAGAACAAGCCAGCGTGTTCCAGTCTGAGACAATATATTTACCTCACCAACATATTAACACCTTCAAACAGCAATCTGATTGTGATGCCAAGACTCTGTGCTATCTCTCTGAGGCTATGTTAAAGTCAGCAGGTTAATTGCAGGAGGCGCATTCCTGTGTGGAGGGCACCTTTCACTAGGAATGGCCTCTTTTAATGCAGAATCAGAAATTCAATGAACTTTGTCCAAAAGGCAAAAGACTACTATGAGAAAGATAAAGTTTAGCCTTTCAGATAACCAGTGTAAATGGGCCCAGCAAGTGGAGTTGTTTGGTTGATCTTGGAGCACAGAGATGTCCCTTTCTTATACCCAGGAAGTTCTGAATTACCTTACTAACAGCAATATTGCCCCTGTGCAAGAGCAACTGGTTTGTGTTAGTGGATCGAAAGGATGCATCTTTCTGCATAAAAACTAAAGAAGGCATCATTATTACTTCTGTTTCATCCTCAAACATAATGCTTATCAATTTCAGGTACTATGATTTCAATTTCAGGTGCTACATAGTACTCAAGTAGTATGTCAATGATCTGGCTATAGCCCCAGTATATTTATGTAATGTATAGGTTGATCTCTCATTGTGAACTCTTACAGAGATTGGGATTTGTACATGAATCAAGACAGGTTGACCCTTTTGCCTTTCAGGTAATACAGTATATCAGGGCCATGTTGGTCTCTGTCATGGGCTGGGCATACCTTCCTCTGATCACTGCCCTAGTTGCATTAGCCAAGAGTTTGCTTTCCAGCCAAGTTGATGCCATATTCAGTATCTGCTGTAGCCACAGTGACAATAGTGGTATTTGCCTGGCTCTTAATGAGGCCTCTTCAAAGTCTGTGCCTCCTGTCACACAGATGACTCTCACTAAACAGAGACACATTTGCACATTCTGAGCACAGTAGTGCTGATCCTTCAATACTGAACATTTTCAGTCTCCAAGAGGGAATTTCTTAACTCAAGAGCTCTCATAGCCAGTTCATCTCTTAAGTGAATGGAACATCCACTGTGTAATACTGATCACTCAAGGTTCATGGTCAAGACAGAATGCTTTTTGTCACATAAACCTCCTTGAGCCATGTCTGTGCAGAAGCTTTTTAGACTTTCTTGACTGACCTCATTAACCTGCACATTAAAGACTACAATAGTTTCAGGTTATTTGCACAAGCAGGGAGAGACAAAATTGATTTCAATTACCATACTTGCCAGCCAGATCTTCAGCTGGTGTATTATGCATAGCACAGGGCTTGTGTCAATATGTATCTGAAGAGACAATATACTTTCAGACTCCTTGAGCCAGTTGTATCTAGTATCTCATGAATGGCAACTACACCTGAGAATTCTAGTCCCCTTTCAGCAGTTTAAATATTCTGTAGATTAGTTTGCAACCACAGAAAATGCAGTAAGTTCAAAGTTTTGCAGATTTTATGAGGAATACTTCCAGTGAGTTCACAGCCATGTTTTCCTCTATGATGATCTCAGTCTTACCAGAAAGCCAACAACTATATCATCTTATGCCAAGAAATAGAATTCCTCATTTTTTTCACTATTTGCTCAATTTTTTAACAATTATGTCAGCTTCTCACAAGTCAGTGGAAAGCATTTCTGTTTTTTCACATCCTTTGATGCAACAATTTCTCTAGAGAGTCTGGAATAGCATTTAGCTGCTGGTACAAGTGGAGCTTGACATCAGTTTGAACCGATTGTACCTCTTGATTCTCTGCCTCCTTTCTTGGAAGTGGTTGTTGCATGTAGTCGTCATGTCAACTCACAGATGCAATTAGCTGTATGCATTAAGGATTGATGCTTCTTACATGACTTTCCATAAAGATAAAGTGGTACTTTGTCCTGAAAATGATACCTGCCTTCCTGTCAGAACTGAAATCAGTCCATCATGTTCTCAGTGTTGGAGCTTTAGCCTTCTATAAATCCAGAACTGAGAACATTTATCTTCCAAATGATACTGGTTTGTACCTCTGATATTGTACCTCCCATAAGAACCTTGAGAGGCAATTTCTATATAATTTTTCTTATAACTAGCAGCAACTATTAATGAATTAAGATGTCTTCTGGTCCCAGAAGAACCATTTCTCCCATGTTATTGGAATTGCTGTTGTAAGTTGCTCATGTCTCTAACAGGAGACTGTTTTATTTAAACAGGTCAGAGATCTGGAAGTCCCTTAGTATTTTGCCAAGAGACTGATTTCTTATGCTTCAGTTAAGCAGGAATGAACAGCCCTTGCATGTATTTAAAAACAAGTATGAGATAGTCCCAACAAACCAAGATTTAGGACTAAATTTAAATCAGCTATTTTTAGCTCCCCAGGACAAGGATCTACCTTTCCTTCTGCTATTCTGTAAAGCACCATGCATGTTGCCAGCATTACATAACCAGTATGTTATATGTTGTTGACTTGAGTTCAGACACTGATAACCAACACTCAAGCGTTCAGTAGAGGTTGAGTATGAGTTGTCCCTGAGACATGGGCCATTGTTAAAATATGGATGATAGATTCTGTGCTCAGCTGTATTTGCAGTCCATGATTTGTCGTCCACAAGAACCCATGTGGTTTGTTGCTAAGTTAGGAACTGTGAGTTGTGCTGAGCAAATCATGATTTATTAGCATGACTAGGTCCAAACAACGTAATAACTCTCAATTCAGAAATAACCGAGAGTTCATTGACAACCCAGACAACATATACTCAACCCTTGATTGTGCATTATATTCTCTGAATCCAGCCACTGTGTGTGATTTCCAGTATAAGAAATGTCTGTCATACTTCAGGTAGTTTTCCTGAGGAAAAATGGTACATGACATGAAAAGCTGATGGAGATTAAACATATGGGCACAAACCTAAATAAACATATGCAGTTTTAATCTCTCTCTTCCTCAGGTATCTGCCACCAGAGTGTTTTGTTGTTGGGAAAGAGCCTCCAAAGATTTCCAATAAAGTTGATGTTTGGTCAGTGGGAGTAATTTTCTACCAGTGTCTTTATGGAAGAAAGGTAAGCAAGCTAATTTAACTACTAGGGTGTTTTTAAAGGGGTTTTTTTCTTCAAGTTTTAGCAAAACAAAAAAAGAGAACAAATATACATAGGCTTGAATTATTCATCAGTTGTATATAAGCAGATCAAACATCCATGTATATATTCATTTGACAGTGGCTTCTATGTCATCAATTCAAATGTTGAAAGCATCATTAAGTTCTCAGTCTATTGCAGTACAGCAGGAGAGCATTCATCCTTTCAGTGTTGTAATATTTGTAGTTTAGCTTTCAAAAGGGTGTGGAAAATCCATTTACATTTACCATTTGTTAACTTCCAGGTATTTAAAAGAATGTGGGCATTGTTAGTAGTCATTAAAGAGTGTTCCAATACAAAGTTTATATGCATTGTAACTGCTTCCCAAAAATAAGAAGTTGCTGGATATTATCAAAATATATGAATAAGGAAGTATTAGCAGTATTTAAATAAACCTTTATTAAAGAGACTTTGCAGTGTCCAGTGGACCCATGACAACAGTTTTTGTTGAATAATATGTAACCTGAAAATCATGGAAGCTTCAGATATAGATGACAAAGTGACAATCCATTGATTAGACAGAATAGGACAGTCCAATTTCCTATTCCATTCCTGCTTAAAACCCCATGTATCATATTTACCCACTGATACTATGTATTTGTAAACATAGATCATAGGTCAATATGACCTCAATAAGCATTTCTAATAGCATAGAAGAATGAAGCTGTAAAAGCTGCAGGGCCTAACATAGCTTCTAACAAATACTGCAATGTCAAGTACTGTCATTCAGCCATAGCAGGCATACCTAAAATGACAAGTACTCATCAACAACTTGCACAAATTGATCCCAAGTAAAAGCCAAGTTATTCCAATTCTGCTGCAAAAAGAACTTACCCATCTTTCTTACCGATTTTAAGACTGGATTTTTTCATAAAGTCAACTTGGTATGAAAAAATGGATCAAAACATTGTGATGCAATATCATCTGCCACACATCTCTAGCAGCGTTAATTGCGGCTGTATTTGTGTTAATAGGCTGAAAGCCTAATGCCATCTACTTGGAAAGAGTATCCTCCAAACAAGAAGATTCCAAAACTGACCAAGGAGACGCATCTAAGTGGGAAAGAGCAATATTTGGTACAAGTCAACAAAATAGGACTGATGATCTAAAGCAAAATTTGCTTCTTTGAAAGACAACTGAGCCACAACAATAAACTGTCAGTCTTTTCTGAAATTCATTGTAATATTTGGCACAAGAGTTCAGATTTCTGTGTATATTTGCAGCTTGTTTTCTGATTTTAGTTCTTTAAAAGATTTTATGCATTTACTTAGTTATATACTGCTTCATAGCCTGCAAGCTCTCAGTGCAGCTTACAATTATTTAAATTATATATAATTCAATAAATATTCACATTAAATAACAACAAAACTATAAAATAACATAATAAGACAAAAACACAGAGGCTCTCTATTGCTTCCATGTGGGATCTAGTAATCTAACCATAGGCTTGCACCCTTGACTGTAGAATTTGTTTTATTTTTAAAATGATAGGTTCTCCCATCTAACTTGAGAATGTTTTCTGTTACCTAATTTGAGGATGGAAAAGGAGAAGCAGGTGCAAGTAAGGGTGGTGACTGTAGTAAATGTGGAGAGACAGGGGCCTGTATAGGGAAAATAACTCTTGCCACTTTATTAACAGATGTTCAGTTTAGAATTACTTTGATTTTCTAACTAAAAATCCTTTATACACCACCAGTCCTAATCCTTCCTTTATTTAAAAAAAAATGTTCAACTGCTTTGAAGATTACTGGATGTCCCCCTCCATCCTTTTGAAACATAATGACTGCATAGCATGCCATTTCCTTGGCATGCAGACCCCACTCTCTCCCTGTCCTCTCATAAGTTTTGAATTTGATAGAAAGCTTCCTTTCTCTTTCCCTGCAGCCTTTTGGCCATAATCAATCTCAACAAGATATTCTGCAGGAGAACACAATCCTTAAAGCTACAGAGGTGCAGTTTCCTCCAAAGCCAGTGGTAACGCCAGAAGCAAAGGTAAGAAGGGGTTTGATATTTCAGTCACAGGTACAGTTGAGAAAGCTGTGAAGAATCTACTGACAGTGTCATCCAGCAGTGAATTACTCCTCCCATTCATCAACAGAGACACAACTTTTATTGGCTTGAAGTTTCTATGGGGAAGCATCCCTCTGTTCATCCTTCTGCCAAGGTGCCAGGACTACCAACAATTTCTGGAGTATAAAACTTGTAGGCAATTACCTATTTTCAACACATTTCTTCTTCTTTCTTCTTCTGCTTCATGATGATATTAATATTTTTAGTTTTACTTTATAAAACACCTAACATTATCTAGATCTGTACGATTTTAAAATGGCACAGTTCCTACCTCCAGCTTACAAGCAATACCTGAATGTAGGGAAGAAAGAAATTTTTATTCATAATTCTAATCTAGTTTGGGCATATCCTGATTCTCAGACTTCACAAATAAGTGGAAATTGAAAGGTTCATCCTTATTAGACAGGGGCATGACCACAAAATAGTTAGCAATACTCTTGGTTTACATGGGTAACTTCTCCACTTAATTTATGAAGATACTCAGAAAACCTTGGACTGTTAGTGAGTGCAAGAGTGAAAGTTTCACCCTCAGAGGTTAAAGTTCTTCTTCTCTACAGTTCAGAGGTGGTTGCAGTGGTAAGGGATTTCCACTCTAACCAACCAGCATCTTGAAATAGGTACCAGCTAGCAAGTAAGCCTGCTTCACCTTGTGTACATGTCCTCACAGAAAGCAGTTTCTAAGGGGATCATATCAACTTTTCTTTGAGCTTCTTCACTTTCACTTTTCATTTCCTTTTTTCCTTTTGTTTTCTTTTTCTTGTTCCTTTGATCTTTAAAAGAACACTTTAGGAGACACTTGCCAATTCAATTCTGGCTGAATTAGTCCTGCTTTGTTGTTCTTTAAGGGGCTAATTCAGCCAGAATTGAGATGGCCAATTTTTTGTGCTCAAGGAATGGTTTTGCACTCTGCCTGCATTCTTCTTATTCTAGAAGGGTGACAGTGTCTACTGGACACTTCCTGGAGTGCTACTTAGACAACACTTACCTTTTAGGTATCATATACTCTGCACTTGCACTACTGGCAAAGCATCCTTTTTGTAGGAACCTGTTATAGCAATTTTGTAGTGAAGGAAATGTCACTCAGCCCCACCTGGGCTGATTAGATCACAGCTATGGCCACCTCTGTCTGTGCAAAAACAGAAGCTTAGTTTTAGTTTAAAGGTTCCTTCTTCTCTTCTGGATGGGGAGGACATCCACACATGCTACAGTTAAATTCCAGTTAAGATGAGTTGGGTCCTTCTAGATGACTCTCTTTCCTGTCATCCTTTTATATATACATACACAAACACACACTCACACACTCTCTAGTTGTGTGTTCAGTTTTCTGTGCATTTCAGTTGCTGTATAGTACTTTCAAAACTAAGAAGAAAACTTTCCTCAGTGATAGTTTAAAGCCTCTACTAGTACTGCCTCCCCTGGTGAATAGTAGTCACCATTCATTACTGCTCCACCTAAGCAGAAATTCTTATGGTAAGCCATTGTGTTTTGTTCTGTAAATATCTGGTCAGATAGTTATTTCAACAACACTCCTGCACTCAGTTTTGGTGTTTTTTTTTTTTTTTTTCAAAACCATTTGTTTGCAAAGCAGTAACCAGCTGGTAAACACAGCATCAACAGTTAAGCAAGCAGTGCTGCACAGAAAATAGGAATTGAGTCACTAGTCTGGTGAGCCTTTATGCCTGAAGTTGCTCTTCAGCTCTACCTGAAAAGAGAGAAAAGGCAACCCTAGATCATCCGCACACTTTTGTTCGACAATTTGGTTGTCCACCTACTTCTCTCAACTGCTGTGTGGTACATCTCAACTCAATGGAACAGATTGACAGGACAGTAGAGGGAAAAGGGTGGAAGTGTCACACCTGCCATTCCTATCATTTCCACTGAAGACTTAAAAGAGAAGTGCCTTTTAAGCAGCAGTGGTTTAGGAAGATCACTTCTCAACCATCCATTTACAGAATAATCAATAGTCAGGGAGGATTGTTTTTCAACATGTGTTGTTATCCACCACTTCTAAAAGAAACTCTTGTTAGTAGCGGTTGCCCTTCATTCAGAAATGGGGTACCAATACTAACACCTTATGTCACTTTTCTCTTATCCGTGATTCTTTTTCAGGCATTTATCAGACGCTGTCTGGCATACCGGAAGGAAGATCGGATAGATGTCCAGCAGTTGGCTTGTGATCCCTACTTGCTTCCTCACATCCGCAAATCTGTATCAACAAGCAGCCCAGCTGGGGCTGCTATTGCCTCAACCTCTGGATCCTCTAATAACAGCTCCTCAAACTGAGCAGGAACAATAGGCCATATATATATATATATATATATAAATATATATATATACACACACACAGAACTGCAGAAAGAAACCAAGAGAGTCAGACACGTTTTGAGAATGCAGCCTTGGGATCAGCAAGGAGTCCACAAAATGGCCTCAAGAAACCGGTATCGGGTTCTTTGTTTTTCTCTTGCGTTCTTGTCCCATCCGTAGAACAAGGCATCATCGATTCTCAGCAAGGATGTGAGGCAACTTAAGTCAAGCTAAGTGGCCAAGGAAGAGGAGTTGGTTCGTCTCGTGCTGAGCAACTGCAAAGGCGCTAATCGCTCTGGGCAGTGGAGGAAAAGATGGTTCCATGTACTGTGAACGTCCAAACAACACGGACCCAGGGTGTGGTTCCATGACACAGGGTGCACACACTTTGTGTGGAGAATTGTGGACTTGGCGGCAGGGTAAAGAGGCTGGACTTAGTCCATTGTCAATATTTAAAATATGTTCTTTTCTTTCAAATTTTAGACTACATCTCATTGGAGGGAAGGGGAAGAAACCACAGAGCTCAGTGCTGTGAGGTTCCGCTGGTGGGATTGGCATAGGAATCTTCTACCCTTTGAAAGGGAGCCAAGGATCCTGCTTGCTGACAGCACCAGCATTAACATGTTATCCCAAATAATTTCAATTTTAAAGTAACAATTTTATTGGGTTTTTTTTCTGGTTATAAGATAAACTAACTTGCAGGTCAATGTGGCAGCCCTTCCTGCTTCTCCCTAGATTCTGTGTGTCAGGGGTGAGTTATAATGCAGAGATTGCATTAAAGCTGTGAGCATAAATTCCTCTTTCTCCACCCCCACAACCTGCACACACAAAAGCTGCTTTTTGGCAGGCACTTGACAGTTGTTTCCCCTTCTGCACCCCCAAATAAATCTTAAGAGTTTCTTCTTTTTAAGTCTTTTCTCATTTGGTTCTCTGACCCATTCACTTGAGTCTGTTTAGTACTCTTTAACAGACGCACAGATGCTGGCTCTGGCAAAACACTCTAGTGAAAGCACCTTCTCTTTTTTCTTTCCCCCTCCCTTTTTAAACATTTCCTTTCTGTACTGTCTGCTGCATCCTCAAGAACAAGCAGACTTCTGAACTTAAATCTTCCCAAATCTTTTATCCATAAAAAGGGTTGGGGTGGTTTGTTTTTTAATCCTTGACTTTTTTATCTTTAAGAAAAACATTAAAACCAAAGAAGAATCCAGTTGCTAGAAACTTGTGGCAGAATGCTATTCCCACATATGGCCAAAATGATGTATGTTGGAAATACTTTAAGCTGGTCAGGCCCAGCCGCGTCTTCAGTTCTTTATCCACAACAGATGATTCTCAGTTCTTACTCCTTCCCTTCCTACTGGCAGTGGTGCACATGGAAGCAGCAGGGCAAGGCAAGGGGGACCAAGCCATATTCAGATTTAGGCAGACAAGTGTGGGGAAAGCAAACCTGGGAAACAGAGACTGTATGTACATGTGTATGTGCACTCGCCTCTAGTTACTTCTGCAGATCAGGTGGGTAGGGCCTGGATGCTGTGCGTGTACGCCATCCCGCCTTCCCTAACAGTTCAACCACCAGGATCAATGTACTGTTTGGTCATAGGTGAACCATTCTTCATTTTAAATGTCATTAAATGAGTCTGCAAGAGGAAGTAAGGAGATTGATATGTCATTATCACAACTAAAGGCACTGTAAAAAGGGGTCATGATGCTTAATTTAAACAAGTCCACAACCCAGCTGCCATGACAGTAATTTGGGGATTGTGGGATGTTTCCCCTGACTATAATGAGCTGTGCCTCAGAACTAGAGGAGTGGCTTTTTGTTTTGTTGCAAGTCATGATCCCTGCACCCCCCGCTCCCCGCAATCTGGATGGAAGAGCTAATATTTAGACCCCTTCTATTGGGCACAGAAAGTAGGTAAAATCTGTCCAGATAGAGAAGCACACCAGTGGATTCTCCAGGGTCTCTGGGGGGCTTCTGGTAGAGCTTCTCCCCCACCACCCACTCACTCTCTCTCCCTCTGAGCAAATAATATGCCTCTCGAAGCATGTATGAATTAATAAAACCTATGTTTCATCATCTCTTTTTGCCCAGCCTCCCTTTCTCATTAAAGAAAACCAGCATGCATGTTTGTTCCTTTTAGGGTTTGGCCATGCCAGTGTTACTCATAGCTCTTTAATCAACTTGCAGCTTGGAGCCACACAGGAACTGGCAAAATGCAGAGGCAGTTGCTATGGTAGTATACAGCTGCTGTGTACTTGCTAGGGACAATAAATGTTGTTCCCTCAGCCATGCTGGGATTGTGTTCATCATATTTTTCCGTATCTGAATTTGAAACATGAAACAAACTGCCCATGGTAAATCCAGAGACCTAACACCTTAGCCTTTTGCTTTCCCTCCTTAAAATTAACCAGATCTTCACTTCAGACCAGTTAAAATTTGCATTGATTAATTTTTGATCATCCACAGAGAACCCTATCCCAAACCAAACTTATTTAATTTTGTTTATGACTTAGTCATAAAATGTATTTGTTCCACTTTCCCCCTTCCCTCAGAGAATAGTGGCTGTCAGATATTTCAGTCCCTCTTAGTTGTGCCTGAGCAGCAGCCCTTCTACCTTTTCATAGCATTCATCACTGAAACAGGATAAGAAATGCAGACTGTGACTCTTTTTAAAAAGTTGTTGCTGAAATGGGTTTTATTTCAGGTAACCAAACTTTTTTATTGCCACTCTGTTCATTTTATTGAAAGGGAAAAGGAAAAGTGTATGGATTTGTAACTTGAAACTAGGCCAGACTGTTTTGGCTTTGCCCAACAGACAAAAATATGGATATTAAACAAGTTTTAAGAAACTGAACCTCTTCGCTTGCTTGTTATGTTGAAACTGTTGATGGATAAACTGGACAAAGGGGGAAGAAAGGCAATTAATGATCCTGGTGTAAGTAAATCTTTTGCTCTGAAGAGAAAATGAGTAAACTACTTATTGGAGCCCATAAAAATACTCATATAAAGATATATTGCTCTTTAGTAAGGGGAATAATAATGCCAGATATATCCATGGCTCAAGAAGCAGTTTCTGTTGGCTCAGTCCTACTAGTCAGCAAGCATAGCTTGGCACACTTCTGAATGATACACATCTGGAGTTAAATGAAATCACATCTGATCAAAATAGAAGCAAGACACCAGCTTCCTCCAAATATATGTAGATTCCATAGTCATTCTGTACGAGTAGGGAGCAAAGGATTAGAGGCAGGATCCATAATACTGAGAACTTCTTCACTGTTTTTTTTTATTCTTTTGTTTTATCTTTAACTTAGACTTTAGTAGATGATAAATGCCTGGTGAAATTCAGAAGTCATTCCATATCTAGTTCTGGTAGATGGAAATAGGGCTTTAATCTTCTATGTAATATATGCTTTGCAACCTCACTAATAAGCACAATATTCAGATCTAATGAACTGTGTTTAATTCTAGAGTGGCTGTATCAGCTTTTCTTGACTGCTTTCCCGGGGGACTGCTCATCAGACCCCTCCAGACCAACTATGGGCGCAAGCTCTGGCAACCAGGCCTTAAGGAATTTCCTAAGGAATGAGGATTAGATCTGTAGTCAAGAATCGCCATATTTAACAGTGAAGGCTTTCTTCCTTTTACTTTCCAAAGTTTCAAGCAGTTCTTGATTTAACCTCAACCATTCAGAAAACACTTTCTTGCACACCAGGTCTCTTATTCAACCTAGCCCAGAGGTGTGTGAGATATCTGTCTGGGGAGGGAGATCTGAGAGATTTTCCTGACTCAGTTTTCTGCATTTCCCCACCCTGCTGCTGATTACTCAAACTGATGCAAGTTGAGTTAGCACAGTTTTCTGCATTTAAAATAGACCACAATTGATACAAGTGTTCTTTTAAGGTTGCAAAATTTACACTAATTGCAGAGCCTTAAATCTGAACACAGCAAAGTTGTGCAAATCCACGCCTTTCACAGGACAAACTGACTCAAGCTAGCTTCTCCACTAACAGGATCTACTTAGTTGTTCAAACAAACAACAAAGCCCACAACTAGTATAATCATAACTAAGACAGAATAAACCTTATTTAGGAAAACATAAAATATGGAAAGAAGTCTAGATAAATCTGTGCAGAAAGGAATAACACTAGGGAGGACAGAGCCTAAAAACCTTGAGTTTCTTGTACAAATCATAACTGAAAAATACTTAAAAACATATTTGATGTGTGCAAATTGTTTTACTCTAGAGAAAAATCATAGTGCCAGCAATGAACCATTCAAAATTATCAATGACAACGTTCTTTCTGAAGGAATATGCCAAATCAAAGTAATAGCAGACAAAACTGATGAAAGTATTTAATAAGGCAATATGCTGTGCTGGGGTTACACAACAGACAAGTAAATGTGATAAAATGCTAAACCGTGCAAGTCCACTTATGCTACTGTAATGCATTCAGACCAAATTTGTGTGTAAGACCCTGATTTGCACAAGGAGTGCTATGAGTATGCAGATCTCCCCTACATGCATAGCTAAAATTTTCATGCACATTTCCAGACCCCCACCCTTCAACCAGAAGTCTAGTGTGATCTGTTTCCAGATGCTGGATCAGAAATGCTATGAAAGTTCATTGTGTTCAAATGAAATAGATTTCCCAGCATTGTACATAACTGGCTTAGCATCTAATTCCAAGGCTTTTTCAAAATTACTGTTCTTTTTATGGTCTCTGTGCCCATACATGTGGGCTGACCATGTTTATAGAGTCCAATTAGATAACAGACTCTATATTGTGTGTTAGTTATATAGTCTCTATAGTCTATACAGCCAAGGCATTTTTGGCATGAATCCACCTGTACCCACCTGGAGCATACGCCCAAGTGTATGATCCTGCTTTCCTCCTCAGTTCTCTTTTGACTGCTGTGTTAGCATCCTTTGAGAAAATGCAGTAATTAATAAAAGTCTACGTGGATTTATCAAAAATAAATCCTGTCAGACTAATTTAATCTCATTTTTTGACTGGATAACCTCCCAGACAGACTGAGGGAACACTGTGGACATATTCTACCTTGACTTTAGCAATGCTTTCAACATAGTGCCCCACAATTATCCGATAAGCAGATTAGCAAAAAGTGGTCTAAATAGAAAAAATATTAGGTGGATCCAAAATTGACTGCTAAATCTGACACAAAGAGTGCTCATCAATGGCATCTTCTCAAACTGGAGGAAGGTAACTAATGGGCCACAAGGTTCAGTCCTAGGTCCAGTGCTCTTCAACAACTTTATTAATGATGTAGATGAAGTACAAGGAACAATAATCAAATTGAAAAAAACTGGGTGGAATAGTGAACACCCTAGAAGACAGAATGAAGATCCAGGGCAATCTTGATAAACTTGAATGCTAGGCTGAAAGCAACAGAATGAAATTCAATAGAGACAAATGCCAAGTCCTCCACCCAGGAAAAAGAAACCAAATGCACTGATACAAGATGGAGAATACATGGCTTAACAGAACTGAAAAAGAAAAAGTCCTTGGAGTTATTGTGGACAACAGTCAAAGTATGAGCCAACAATGCAATGCAGCTGAATACTTCCAAATCATGAGACATAGTAGTTCCCCTATGCTCCTCACCAGTCAGCCCCATCTTGAATACTGTGTCCAGTTCTGGGCACCAAGATTTAAGAAAGATGCAGAAAAATTAGTGTCTGGAGGAGGGCAACAAAAATGATCCAGGGTTTGGAAATGCTGTTCTGTGTGGAGAGACTGAGAAAAGTGGGCATGCTCAGCCTTGAGAAGACTGGGGTGGGGCATGATATCCCTCTATAAGTACCTCAAAGGCTGTCTCAAAGGGGAAGGTCAAGATCTCTTCTTGCTGATAGCAGAGTGTAAGACACAGAATAATCAAGTCAAGCTGTGACAACCCAGATTCAGGCCGGATATCAGGAAAAGCTTCCTCACTGTTAGAGCAATATGATAGTGGAACCAATTGCCTAGAGAAGTTGTGGGATCTCCCACACTAGAGACATTGAAAAAGAAACTGGACAGTCATCCAATTGGAATGGTGTGAATTGGTGACCTGCAACAGCAGGCAGTAGGAACCGATGGCCTTCTTGGCCACTTCCTACTCTACTATTCTATGATACTTGAGATTTTTTTCTGTCATTCTTTAAGGTAGTGTTAAGGAATCCGCCCCCCCCCCCAAATTACATTCCTTATTTCTTCTCTGTTTTATTTCTACCCATTTTATTTTTTTTCCTTTAAAGCAGGTTTTTCCTCCTGACTTTGTTGGCTCCTGGAGCCTTTTTCATAAGTGCTCCCAACCTGAGGATAAAGTCCCTGTTATTGACAGGCACTCTCTTGGCTTAATGTGTCCTGAAAGAGGACCTAGGGTAGACTCTTCAGCTTTCTGCAAAGCATTTACAAAGTAAGCCTGCTGCAACCTCTCTGCCCACCTCTGGACCCACTTCTGAGAATAGACTTTAAAGACAATACATTCCAATCTTAAAGCTGTAGTACAGTGTCTATCTGCCATCTGTTAATTGCTGGTTTGGGAAGTCTTTTATATCTATGGACAAGGCTGTGCAGGCCTAAGCTCCTCTTATAGGATCATCTTCTGAAATCAAAATGCATGCGCCACATAGTACTACAGTGGAACACAGAGCTGACCCTCCACCCACTCCAGGTCTCTCATCTAAATTGGAGTCTTTTAACTCGCTGAAAAAGCATGCAACACATCCCTTGGTGTCAAAGAAGATGACATCGTATCCTGATCCCAGGATGAGCACACCTTTTTCAACTCCACTTGTGGCCTTTGTTGAAATGCCTTCAGTTCCACTTATGACTTTGGTTCCAATGTATTCATTACTGATCCCTTGACCACCAATGGCACTTTCCCATTCTAGTCCTAAAGTGGATAGGTACACTTTCCCTTAGAGAAGGTTCAAGCGATTGCTTCAATGCCAGAAGGAAAGGTCTGCACAGTGTCTCTAGAACTGATCCCGGAAAACCATCTGTAATACTTTGCAAGTTGCTCCTACCAGTTTCCTTTTCAATTCCAGCAGTCATTAGATTCTCCTAAAAGCTCTCCTGACTACATGTACTCAAGGCATTTTTACTTGGAATTTTACTTGGAAGGCATTGGATGCTATTGGTTGGTGAATACATTCCCCTACAACATTTGAACTGAAGGCAGCTATTTACCAAGCCTGCATGCCAAGGAAGCAAGCCTTCCTTTTGTCAGCACAATTTAAGCATCTGCCAGATGAGAAGCATGAGCTAGCCAGAATCTTCCATGATGAGGCCATGAAATTCTTTTGTCAATAGATAAATGGCTCAAGTCTTATGGCTAATTGTAATTCAAAGACAACAGTGGAAGCAGTCATGCCTTGCCATCATATTTGGCTTCAATCAGCAAGCATTTCTCAAGAAACAAGGTTAAACATAGAGGATCCTCTATGAAAAGGCATGTGTAATACGAAGACCAACAAGACTAAGTACAAAGGCTCAGATCAATGTATGATTTCTGGAATTGTGGCCTCAGTGCTGAAAGACTCCTTCATAAAGGCAATTGTCTTTATGCTTGCTTAATCTTAGTAACATTTCTTAGTAATCTTCTTCCCAGGGATGAAAGAGGGCCATACCATCTTCCAAAGTTTGTTCAGACTTTGTCTCCATCAGATGTCAGGCTCCCCCAATCTGCAGCCCAATCCTGGCATGGAGCATCCCTAAAGTTCTAAAGATTTTGACATCTATACTGTTTAACAGCCTTCCTAGTCACAATCACATCAGCACAACAATCCAGTTCATGTAATTGCAGATGAACCTTCCACTGGGATACACAGTTTCTCCATTGAGACATCTATTTATGCCTAAGGTCATATTTGACCAACACTTTAGTGAGGGCAGTGTCCTAACTACCTTTTGATGACCTCCATGGAATCAATGCTATTCACTCTGGATGGGTGGCATGCACTGGTTTTCTATAAATCCTACAAGCAGCTTAGGCTTCCCCCTGTGCTACAAGGGCTCATCACAGGGGACTGGCAAGGTCCCCAAACTGCCTGTCGGCCTGGGCGGTGCAAGTGATCTGCTTAAGCAATCAAGCTAGCAGGTCTTCCACTGTTGGACCAACATTGACTGATCTCACCCTGGCACATTGACAGACAGAGCATTTTTTGGAATTCTTCCATACAGCTGATCACATCTTTCCATATTATAAAATATTACAGGCAGCATGTCAAAGCAAGAGTCAACTCCTCCTTTGGTCAAACTATGTCATCACAGTATAGAAATTAAAGAAATAAACCCTCCCTAATTGGAAACAGCTTGGGCATATCCCAAAGGTTCAAATGCTGCCTCAAACCAGTCATTGTTTGCATTCACATGACACATGACCCCATTCCTTGCTGATAAACAAGCAAAGAGGGTAGCATGCTATTTTTGCTTAGTGAACAAATGCTTCCTATTTCAGATTCTACAAAGGCTAGAGACTAACCTTTTTTAAAAAAATGAAAGCTGGGAAATAGGATTATGGCTTACTGGAGTTTGGGGCAATTGCTTGCCCTGCCCTGGACACCCACATTCCCTATGCTCCTATGATAATGTCGCAGTCTTGGTTAAAACTTTTCAGCCTCAGTTTGACCCCAGCTCCCTCAAACTGCAATATGAGCATTTATATTTGCATAGATGATAAAATATCTTTCAATAATCAATCAATCACATGTGTTAAAACCTAAGTTAGAGCATTCTATTAAATGGCTTTATTAGGCATCATATAGAATTGTATTACCTTAATTCATACATACATATTAGGCATCATATAGAATTGTATTACCTTAATTCATTTGAAAACTGATATTGGTTTAAAAGCCTTGAAATATTAAACTGCCCTGCCAATATCAAAACTGTCCATTACCCCCACAACGTCAGATGGAAAGAAAGTGAATGTGGCTAGGAAAGGGATCCTTATAATATTCCTGCAATTTGGTTAGCTACTTAGAACAACATCCTGCAGTGCAGGTCGTTGTTAATATAACGGATTAGAGGGTGGCTTGCGTTTATTCCAAGGCAAAAATCTCGAAACAAGACACCCACCGGTTGGAGCTGTGCACAGGTTTGGCACCAAGTGTGTCGCTAGGGGGCCTCCACCAGAAGCTTCTGTTCTCCCCGTTCACAGATTATAAGGAGGGAGCAGGAGCAAAAACGCTTGCTTTCCTAGACAAGAGACTGGTTGTGTCTGCTAGCGCAGGGCGACGATGCTTAGCCAATGGAGCGAGGCCCGGGAGAGAGAGGGTCTGCTTTTACTTCCTTCTGCTTGCCTGGGCTGACTTGCCCCTGCTGCTGGACGCCCATCTGCTCTGCAAAGCCGGAGGCAAAGCGCAGCCGCCTTCTCGCTGCCTCGCATTGCAGATGAGCAGAAGAGGCCAGGCACAGCCTGGTGACTTCCCTACGAATTGATCCGTGTGCGTACTGCAGTGTGTGGGGAGGAATTATCTGGGCCTGAGTGTGAGATGAAAACCTTTGCACAGCCGGGGAGACGGCAGCGAGGCGGAGCTGTCCAGGAACTGGCCGGGCCCGGGAAGAGAGGAGCTCCCCGGCGCAGCCGCTGTCCAGGAAGGAAAAAGCGGGCGGGACCAACCCTTCGGCTCATCCTCTCCTGGTCGGCTTCCGGAGGCACCTTCTATGCCCTCCCCCGAATAACTGCCTGCTCGTCAAATCCCGCAAGCGCTTGGCGGCGGCAACTGGGAACTCGAAGCCTCAGTTTCCCGCGGCTGCGAGGGAATTTTTTTTACCATAGAGAGCGAAGGCTAGAGCGACAGTATGCTGGGCCTCCAATAAGCGCGCGCGAGAGGCCCTTTGCATTTTCACCATAGATATTTATACGGGAAGCTCGCGCTGTACGTGACCCTGCTTTCCCTCATCTGCCTGTAACTTTTCCTCACGGCGTCCTGTTTGTGTACGTTGGGAATGCGAGTGGTAGGAGTGTGCCACACTTGTGAGAAAAGTATTGAGGCACATGGAGACCTACTGGGAGGGGGATCCTGGTGCACGAGAGCTGTGCTGCTCAGTGGCCCCTTTCACGTGGAACAGGCAAATCTGATGTGGTGTCTCAATCTTTCTTTTCACTAGGTCTTTACTGCCCCTCGGGATGGCCCTCAACAAATCTATGCATGCAAGAAATAGGTACAAGGACAAACCACCCGACTTCGCTTATCTGGCATCAAAGTACCCAGAGTTCAAGAAACATGTGCAAATAAATTTGTCTGGAAGAGTGAGGTAGGTCAGCATCCATATGTGCAGTAAATGGTATACAGCATCAACCATCAACGAAGTTGCAGAATAACAAAAAGATGTCTGCTGAGAGGGATTTAGAGTCCAAAACCTGACTCACCTGGATGCTATATAGTACAGAAGGAGGGAAGAAGGATGGGGGTAAAAGATAAATAGGGGGGAAATATACAGTCAGTTCAGTTGTATGCAGTTAGGTGTGGTAGCAATCAAAAACTAATTGGACTAGTTATGTGATGGCTTACAATAGGCTGAGAGATGCAATGGTTGACATGCTAAAGTGCTGTGCCCTACCGTAAGGAACTATGATGTAAATAATAGGAAAAGTATATTACTATATATATAAGACTACAAGATTTCAAAAATGGGCTCTACTTGGTTGAGATAGTTTTGGCTGCTGAGACTTTGAGTAAAAGTCACACTATGAATGATTTACTATATGTGCAGTGTTTTGGTTTTATCAATCAAAAACAAATAGACATTCAAAATGTATTTCAGTTATTATTTATGTGCTGTCTAATAGCCAGAGGTCCTTGGACAATTTACAACAGTTCAAAATATAAGATATCAGTAGATAGATAAACACAAAGTTTAATCAACAAAAAGAAGAAAGAAAAAACCAAGCAGCACAAGTTTTATCCTTAAAAGTTTTAGTCTACTAAAGTCCAGGTAAAATGCCTTAACAAGGACCAGGTTTGAATGACATGCCTTGGGCTATGTTACCCATGATGAACTGCAGCACCTGTGATTGCCAGATTGACTCTGTGGGATTGACAGGTCATGTGCCTATGCTTTCCAGTTTTGCATGGCACAACATACTGCATACTCAGTCTGTGCAAGACACAACGTCACCATGGCTTACATAAAGAACCCATGGTGGGCTGTTGTGTCACATGAAGAGTCTTTGACACTATTTTGGTTTTTTGAATTGCTGCCGAAGGAAACAGGGTGGAGGTATGAAGGTAGCATTTCTTTCCTAACCAGAAATAGATCCTACTAAATTTGTTCACACACTCATCTTTCAATAAAGCACCAAAGCACCTGTGCTGAGGTAATGGCAATTTTATCACTTAGGAGAATAAAAAAGGAATACAAAAAAGCATTTTGAGGAGTATGTTGCTAATAATATCAAGATGAACAATAAAGAATTCTTTAGCTTATCAGAAGCTGACACAATAGAGGGTCATAATTTTTGCATGGTACAGAAAAAATGGAAAGGAAATAATTTTATTTCCACTCTCAAAATACTAGAACCTGAATTCATCCTATGAAACTGTGTTCTAATTCAGGACATATTAGAAAGCACTTCTGTGTGCAGTGCATGATTAAACAATGGAATTTGCTACAACAAAATGTAGTGATAGACACCTGTTTGGATGACTGTAAAAGGAAACAAGACACATTAATAGAAGATAGGACTATTAGTGGCTATCATGATAGATATATATTACTTCCAGTATCAGAGACAGCATGAGCACCAGTTGCTAGGGAACATGATCAGGAGGCTGTTGTTGCATTCTTCTGCATGGGTTTCCCATGGACATTCAGTTGACTACTATGTGAACCAAAATCCTATGCACTCTTAACAGCACGGTGATTTTACTTAAACAACAGAGAGTGTAGCCCATAGCCCCATACCCATAATGTTGGCTGTGCACATTATGAGCCAGTCAGTCCATGCATAGAAATCACAGACATACACACATCACAGCCATACCAGTATGCCATTGATAATGCACCAAGATTGGCAGCTGGCCCCATGTTCCAGCAACCTCTGCAGAGATGCTTCAGGATATCCTTATAAAACTACATGGGAAAGGAAGGAAAGACAGTTCAGCATAAGACTCGCCTGGGAAGAGTCTAATTGCCTAATGCTCACAGGGTGAGGTCTGTCTTCTCCCAGCCCTCATGATTCCATGCAGCCCCATCTGCCTCATGCACTTTCTTTCATCAGTCCCAGTTACTGGAGGTATAAATACCCTTGCTGTTCATATCCCTCTCCTATCCACCCCATGTTGGTTGCACCATGAACTGTAGCCCATTGGCTAATCTTCAGATACAGTCTTGGAGCAACTAGAACACAGTCATCATGTTTATTGGATGCAGGGAGTTCTGTAAAAGAATAAGAAAAAAAGTCAGATGGTCCTGCAAACTTTCTTACGACAGTGGGGCTATTACACAACAGTTGGACAAAAGTACCACTCCTCCCTTTGCTTTTCTCCCAGCCTAGGCTTGGCTTCAGCAGCAGCCAGGCAACAGAGTTGTGTTAGAACAGGCAGGTTGTGATTATGCTTAGGAACAGATTAGCTACTTCTGCTGTTGGTCTTATGATGGGCTGCACTTTTGATCTGTATTGCATCAGCAGCAGAGAATGGTCTCCTCTTGGAGTTGGGCTGTCAGTGAAGAACCCAAAGAGGGACAAAAACAGTAGTTAGTAACAAACAACAGCCATTTCAGCTCGGGCTTGCACTCATGCTCATTTGGTGCTGGGAGAGTTGCACTGTGACCTTAGTGATTCCAGTTCCCTTGCCTCACCCCCTTTCCCACTGTTAGCGCCCCTGCTGTCCTCCATTGATGGATGCCTAGACTGTGGTAGAGACTGTGCTGAGACAGTACATGTCCAACATGTTGAAGGAATTGCAATGGAACTCTGTCAGCAAGTTGTATGTATTTTTTGTGCTGTATGCAAGAGAAGAGGGCAATTGGTATATGGCCATTGGTGTGATGACTGGAGAGACGTACCTGGCATTCACTATGTGAATGCATGTGGTCTCCATAGCCGTTAGGGCTTCACTTTCTGCATAGTGAATACTCTGCTGTAAGCTGTGGAAAGAGAAAGCCTGTTTGTCTCTGATTCTTCCAAAGGGTCTGAAATGGAAAATGCTAAGGACATAGTAGCAGGTGGTAGGCCATTTTATTTATTTACTTTGCAGCTGGGGAAGCATGGTAGAGCATGCTTGCTGGGGCATCTTCCTTTCACATGCCATGTTGACCATGGAGGAGTGAGGCAGAGCAGGGAATGGGAAAGTTACTAATTATTTATTAGATTTACATCCTTTTCTTACATTGAACTTGAAGCGGCTTACATCATTCTCCTCCTGCTTCTCTCAGTCTTATCCCCACAACAACAACCCTGTGAGACAAGTTGGCCGAGAGTCTGTGACTGGCCCCAAGTCACCCATTTGGCTCCATGGCGTTCCAAGAGTTCCAGCCCCGCACTCTTATTGAGCCAGACCATTTGCCCACCCAGTTTGGTATTATCCTTGCTAACTGGCAATGGCTTTTCAGATGCTCAAACAAGAATCTTTCCTAAGTCTTGCTGAAGATGCCCTGCATTGCATTTGGGAACGATACCATGCAAAGTTTGTGTTCTGCCATAGAACAACAGCCTTCTGTTAAAACTCACTGCAGTTCTTATTTGCAATCTAGACATATCCATGTTGTGAGAATGTGTGTGAGAGCTTCTGAAGTTTATCTGCAAATTGCTCTAGTCAGTTTTTCTTGATGAAAGATTTAAGGCAAAAATTCCTCAGTGTATTTGTATTTTATGCTTTTCAGTGTAAACTTCAAAGATCCAGAAGCAGTGAGAGCCTTGACGTGTACCCTGTTGAAAGAAGACTTTGGACTTCAAATTGACATACCATTAGAAAGACTTATTCCAACTGTTCCCTTGAGACTTAACTATATCCACTGGGTTGAAGATCTGATTGCTCAGCAAGATGCTGCTACTAAAGGTTCAGTTATATGTGGAATAGACATAGGTATGTGGTAACTGTTAGTCAAAGCCATCCTATGATCTTAGCTGCATGGGTAATGCAAAAAAAAAAAAAAAAATAGTAGAATATTAGCATACCTTAGTCGGGATCCTGTGAACTCGTAACAGCAAGGCAATTTTACTTAAACAACACAGAATGTAGCCCATAGCCCCATACCTACAATGCACATTATGAGCTAGTCAGTCCATGCATAGAAATTTGAGGCATCACAGACATACACACATGTCATAACCATACCAGTATGCCTTTGATAATGCACCAGGTACAAGACTGGCAGCTGGCCCTCTGCTCCAGCAACCTCTGAACAAAGAGAGTCCTTTTGTTCCATTGCACTCACAGGCAACTAATCAGCATGATGATTTAGAGGGCACCCGGTGTCAGTGTAATTTAGTGTGTATCTTTTACACTCCTGGCTTAAACCTTGAGGGGAAGCATCAATATGAAGGTTGCAGAACTGAGCAAGAGTGGCAGCCTTTCCTCAGCATCCATGGTGCCCATTGATCATGGGTTGGTGCGGTGAGGAGCCCCACAGTGACAGCCAGACCCCCACTTCACTCTTGTTAACGGAGAGACGCAGCCATACTATCTCTCTGCCCCACCCGTGCTCTAGAAGGCACAAGGACCCTGCAGTGCCCTCCATTACATGGACTTCTCTTGCATGGGAAGAAATAACCCAGCAAGTGGGTGGCCCAGTTTTGGGGAAATAGCAATATGTACATCTGTGTGTTCTGAGGCCAGTCTGTTTGTTCCAACTATAGAATGCTCTCTTCTTGTACAAGGTATCCTACCTCCTTAGTTTCCATCACTGGTGTTTCCTCCATTATGCTGTAACTGTGCGTACCCATTTTTTCTCCTTCCCTGACCTGCTCACATTTCAACCCTGGTTTGCTATTCTGCTGCTAGAGTGGTGCCACAGTTGCGTTGCACTGGCACATTTCCAGTGATGGAGATTTCTGTGAGGTTAAGCAGACCTAGTACAGTTTCCACCATATACTTCCCTGCCAATATATCTGGAAAATAGGATAGCACCCTAACTTTGCCTCTCAACTTAGCATCAGAGATTTTCTGAAGTACGTAGAGTACATACAGAGTAGTATGATTGGCTGCTCTTCACTGTTTTAACTAGTAATTTTTTTTCTGCATTGGGTGCGATGTAGGCACAGGTGCCTCCTGCATTTACCCATTACTTGGTGCAACTTTGAATGGATGGTATTTCATTGCAACGGAAGTGGATGATGTGTGTTTCAGCTATGCCAAGAAGAATGTGGAGCAAAATAATTTATCTGACCTTATAAAAGGTATCATTTGATCTCACTTGTCCCAGTCCTATGCAGCAAAATAGTTTGAAGCTGTTTTACAGACGAAATCATGCATATGTTGTAGATTTTTTGGCTACAGAACCAAAGTGTTGCCTTGATTATGTTGAATGCTGGTGTCAGTTAACAGGAGATCTGTTTTTATCTTCCTAATCACACCAACCAAAGAAGAACAGAGAAAAATACCAAGGGGAAAAAGGGTGTGGGGGAGGATCCAAGAACAAGTAGAGAAAGGGGAGATGCCTGGAGAGATGGTGGCATAGGCCAAGTGGCTTGTGAGCTGGCACTGTTCAACAAGGAATAAAAGTCATTCCATGTAGAAGTGAAGGTCTCAGGGATATCTCTCTTATTAAAAAATGATTTTTGCTTAAACATCGTTCAGCTATGTCACTTGAGCTGAAATGTGTGTCTTCCAGTTCTGTAAAATAGTTCTTATAGCTACCAAAGTCAGCAGAACTGCCTAGTGACATGGAAGTTGAATGTAAGCAGTTTTTAACAAACTATCCAAGCTGGTGAGATGTCTTGAGGCAGCTGAGTCTGGCTGGCTCATGTTATCCGTACTTGCTGCAGGTTGCAAACTGGTAATTCAGCACTACTTAAAGGTCCGTCACGATATTGCTTCATTTGGCTGTAACTATTGCTTTTGGGGGCTCTTCTCCAGCTTTTGCTATTTGTAGTGGAATAACTAAGCTTAGGAAATCACAGTGGCAATGCTGAAAACTATTTTATAAGGTCTGGCAATAGTGACATACCTCATTTGCATTTTGATTATATGAAATAAGGATAAAATACTATAGTGTTGTTATACTTAATGCATGCAGTCTTCTTCTGCCACTTTTTTGGCAGTAGCATTTAGCAATTTCTGGAAGTTTGACTGAAAGTGAATTCATGTTTGGTTCATCATTTTACTTCCAGTGGTTAAAGTGCCACAAAAGACACTCCTGCTAGATGCCTTAGAAGAAGAATCTGAAGTTATCTATGACTTCTGCATGTGTAACCCTCCCTTTTTTGCCAACCAGCTAGAAGCAAAGGTATGTTGGCTGGTGATCATACAAACTGGGTCGTTTTTTGCATATGTTGACAAATGCTTAATCTTTGAACAGGCTCTTCATATGTGTAACATTTGATGCCTGATTGATAGATAAGCATGTTGTTGAGAAATACTAAAGAACTGAAGCCAAGTGTAGTTTTTTCAGGTGACCTGGATAAAATAGTAACAAATAGCAAGACAAGATACTGTGCCTCAGATACAAACTCTGAAAGCCAGGACCAGCTATATGTTTTGAAAGACCATTTTGTACATAATTGCTATCCTTTTTGTTTTATAAATACTTTAAAAAATTATATTTTTATAGAATATTTACTACAGCATCATTATGGATCTCTTAAGCTATTTGTCCAATTAATAATCACCAATTGTGTTATTTCTCACATGTATCTCCCCCTAGTTGGATAACTGGATCTCTCATTCCAGATATATACACATTTCTAATGACTGGGGATAATGGGAATTATAGTCCAACTTATCTAAAAGGCTGGTTGGGAAAGGCTGATCTAAATTTTTGGAAGAGGTAAGAGTAGCCTATAACAGAGGGGGAAGGTGTGTGTGATGCAGAATTAATAAGAGGTGAATATGAAAATGTGCTGCTGCATGTATTAAGAAGTTCACAGAAAAGTCAGATGTTATGGAGGTTTTTGAAGAAAGAAAGGTAACATGGCTAGGTGGTCTGGAAGAGCAGTCAGGCATATGAACTAGTAGGTAAAATGTCTGAATAGCAGAAGATCAAACAGCTGAGAATTGTGGCTTTGGAAGAGCAAAAATGGTACAGAAAGAAGGGGCAGAAAATAGCTCTGAGAGGTAAGAGCAAGAAGTTTGAGCCAGATGCAAAGGGAGCTGGAAAGGAAATTAAGGGATGTTGATGGTGGTGGTATTGCCAGGTTTGAATTACGAGAGTCAAATGGCTAGGGCAGAAGCATTTTGATGGAGATAGGAACAAAGAATAAAAGGGAAGGCTGAAGAGAAGAACTTTGCAGTAGCCAAGGCAAGAGGGAACCAGAACACGAACCTGAATTTAACCAGGAAGGGCTGGATGATGATTTGCATCGCTGTAGAGAGAGGTGTGACCTGTTGGCAATATGTTGGGATAGCAGTACCATTACAATTTAGCTGCATCATGCAAACACTTCATTTCTTTTCTAGGGAGTAAATTCCCGTAATCCCAGAAGACCACCTCCCAGCTCAGTCAACACAGGAGGGATCACTGAGATCATGGCTGAAGGAGGGGAGCTAGAGTTTGTCAAGAGAATAATCCATGACAGCCTGCAGCTTAAAAAAAGATTACGGTAAGAATTTAAATCAGATCAAACAAGGGCTTACAGTCAAAGGAAATTGCAATCCAATGTTTAAAATGTTAAAAATTACCCAAGATATACAAAAGATGCAAATATCTTCTAATGAAAACAAAAATACCTTCACTACAGATTAAAAACAAATAAAATAAATCTGCTCCAGGCTTTAGAAGAATTATTACAAAATATTCTTGTAATACCTGCAAAATATTAAATATCAAACAAAATGAGTAGATGCATAGGGATATCATCCTATTTGTTGTTATATGCTGTCAAGTCGTTCCTGGCTTATAAATTCACGGCCGTGGCTTCCTGCATGGAGTTAACACATCTCATAGCTGGTCTTTCTCTTCTTTCAACTTTCCCTAGCATGGTTGTCTTCTCTATTGCATCTTGCCTTCTCACGATGTGCCTGAAGTCTGACAACTTCAGTTTTATCATTTTTGTTTCTAGGGAAAGTTCTGGCTTGATTTGATCAACAACCCACTTTCTGTGGTCCAGCGTATTTGCAAGGCTTTCTGCCAGCATCATGTTTCGAACGCATCAATTTTCTTCCTGTCAGCTTTCTTCACTATCCAGCTCTCACACCCATGCATAGTAATCAGGAATGCATTGATGTGGATGATCTTGGCCTAGGCCTGCAGTGAAACATCCTTACACCTGATGATCTTTCCTAGTTCCCTCACTGCTGCCCTTTCAAGTCTCAGTCTTTGAATTTAAGGGCTGCAGTCTCTGTTTGAATCGTGTGTCTAGTATACAAACTCTTCCACAAATTCAGTTTCCCCATTGTTAACTGTAAAAGTTCTATCCTTCTGCGGACATGATTTTTGTTTTGTTTTCCCTTTTTTCAATTTTATTTATTTATTTCACAAAGTATATTAGAAACGAAGAAAGGAAATATATGGGGGGAAAGATGCCAAGGGACATTTCACAAATATAGTTTCTAACTTCAGTATCTGAGCATATTCATAAAAAGATGAAAGTTGTTGTCTGCCATGGTAACATTTAAATAATGTAATTCTTAATCAATGATTTTTGTTTTCTTAATATTCAGCTGCAGTCCTGCTTTTGCACTTTCTTCTTTTTCTTTCATCGGGAATCATTTCAACACATAGCTACTTTCCACCAGTAATATGGTATCATCTGCATATCTTAAATTATTGACGTGCCTTTCACTATTTCCATTCCCTCTGATCATAATTCAGCTTTCTTTTTGAGTTGCTCTGCATTCAGATGGAATAGAGAGATAAAATACATCCTTGTCTGATGCCTTTGCTTACAGGAAACCATTTCTCCACAGTCTGTCCCAAGGGTGGCTTCTTGACCATGATACTGGTTACACAGGATAATCAGTCTGAATAGGTCCACAGCGGTATTAAAGTCAGTAATGGTGCAATCCTGTGGCTGTTCTACTATGGCTGTCTAGTAAGACAAGGTCACAACTCTGTAGTACAAGGACCCTTGCCCATTCGCTACAGATTTAAGGCCTCTACATAGTTTCATTTTAGATAGGTTCCATCTTTTATTGAACTGTATTTATAAACTTCTCAGTTCTAAATGGTTTTCATTATTGCAGGTGGTACAGTTGTATGCTTGGAAAAAAGTGCAGTTTGGCACCATTGAAAGAAGAGCTTCGAATTCACAGAGTAAGTATTTCTCTAAGCATGCCATATGGCTGTTACTTAGAGTTTATAGCTGCACTGTCCGTTTCATAGAATGCATTTCTCTGATACACTTTCCACTGATAAATATTGCACCTTTCCTTCCACTGAATTTAAAGTAACTTAAAGATCCCATCCAGAGGCTAGCCAGTCTGGCTTAGCTTCAAGATACTTTACCTTGTGCTTTGTACTATTGTGTTGCCTTCCACTTCAGCCAGTTCTATTGCGCATATAGATATGGCCTCACTTAACTTCACACAAACAGAGCAGGAATCTAGGAGGCTTTGGAGGAAAGATCTTGGCTTTACAACATTGGTGAGCCACCTGTTCATTGTCCACTACCACATGCAGTACTTATGTGCTGGATCAAGAGAGAATTTGGGGCAAGCTTGAACATATGCTCCCACAGAGGCCACACTGAGGAACTGTGTATGGACCACAGGTTGTCCACATGTGATCCACAGTCTTTCATGTTTGGTAAAATGTAATAAGAAACTAAGAAAATACAATTGTCAACATGGGATCTTTTGGAATCTTGTTTCAAATGTCTCTGAAGCTGAGTATCAAAGAAAATAACTTTCAGCACACTGACAACGCATAATGTGCATGCTAATTTTCTTTGTGCAGGTACCTAAAGTGACCTACACAGAGTTCTGTCAAGGTCGTACCATGAGATGGGCGCTGGCTTGGAGCTTCTATGAAAATGTCAGAGTGCCAGTAAGTGTCTCTGTGGCTGTCTCCTCCTCATCATTGTGTGACTCTCCATTATGAATCATTTAGGATGCTATCCTGATATGTTACAATATCACAGGTTTCAAAAGTAGCTTGCTGTGCAGACAAGATGGTGGTGAAGGGATTTTCTTTTGAACAGTATGTTCAAATGTTTCCCTCTAATTTCACAAATTACTTGAATGATTCTTCAGATCCTGGCAATATACATGTTCTTTACATAACAAAACATTTCTCAATGCAGTGTGCTTGATAAAATGTAATGACTTAAACCGTGTGAGTTATACTTTTTGATCGAGGATCTACCTTTTTCAATTAACAAATAAATCACTTTTGATTATCATTTTCCCTCTTTGTCCAAAACTTACATTTCGGTTCTTCTTCAACTTCTTGAGAGTGTACCTCAAATGTACATCAGTACATAATTTACAGAGCTCTGTGTCAGGTTTCTAATTTTAATTGCCATAGAGAAGTCTTTTCAGTTCAGTGGTATGAAGAGTAAGAATTAAGAACATAGAAGAACTATAGGTCATGTTTCCCTCAAAGATTTAGACTGGCCAGTTTAAGACTATCAGAAGATCCATATTGATTCTGACCAAAGGTCTATCCAGTCCAGTATTCTGTTCACCCAGTGTTCACGCAGGTGGCTGTAGGGTGCCCACAAGAAGAACAAGACCGCAGTAGCCCCTTCTCACTCGTGTTTTCTAGAAACTGATATAAAGAGGCAGGCTACCTGTGAGGACATTGGAGATAATATCATAGAATCAGAATGATATTATTTAAGCCATCAAGTCCAGTCCCCTGCATGCTGTAGGAATCCAATTTAGAGCAACCCTGATGGATGGCTGCCATGACAGATCACCTACCACTCCATAACCAGTTGGCCCAATTGTCTAACTGCTCAAACTGTTAGGAAGATTTTCCTGATTTTCAACTGAAATCTGTAACTTAACCCCATGATTTCATATTCTGCAGTTTTGGATAATCAAGAGATGGTTGTGGCTTTCTTGTGTGTGCCAACTCTTGAGGTATTTGAAAAGTGCTATTGTACCTCCCCCCACCCCATGATCTCAAGGCTAAACGTACCAGTTTCATTCTGTCTTTCTTCATAGGATTATTTTTCTGCTCCCCTGATCATCTTTGTTACCGTTCTTTGAACTCCATAGAATTTACCCAAATTCTTCTTGATTGGACACAGTATTCTAGATGAGGTCTGACCATGCAACTGATAGCATTATACTTTATGAGTTTGTCTGTCCCCTTTTAAAGCCATTGCTACATCTTGTGTCATGAATTCCATAGTTTATCAATGATGTGTGTAAATAGATGCTTCCTTTTATTTGTCCTGAATTTTCTACCATTCAGTTTCACGGAATGACCCCAGCTTCTATGAGATGAGAAGCTGAGACAAGGAGAAAACCTCTCTATTTACTTCTTCCATACCCTAATTTGCATAAAATGCATAATTTTCTGCAATTCTGTCATGTCTTGCCATGCTGATCTTTTTTTAAGCTAAAGACCTCTGCATGCTGTAGCCTTTCCTCATAGGAGAGTTGCTGTAGCCCCTTAACCATTTTGGTTGTTCTTTTCCAACTCTGCAGTACCTTTTAGAGGTGCAGCAACCAGAACTGTACACAGTATTGCAAGCAAGATTGCACCATAAATTTGGTTAAGGGCATTATTATATTGGCAGATCTGTTTTTTTTATTCCTGGTCTAGTTATGCCCACTGTGGAATTTGATTTTTCCGAACATTTGGGTTGACATTTTCAAACTATCCAGAATTGTTAGCAATGTCTCTTAATTTCAATGTCTCTCTGCCAACATATGCATGAAGCTGAGATTGTGTGTCCCACTGCATGTCATTTTACATTTCTGTTGCCATTTTAACACCCACTTCTCCAGTTTAGAGTGATCCTTTTGAAACTCTTTGCAATCCCTTTCATGTTAAATCTTCTAAATCAGTTAATGTTATCAGCCACTGCTCATCCTTAATTCCAGATTATTAGTGAAGAAATTAAAAAGCACCAGTCCCAATACAGATCCTTATGGGACCTTACTGTGCACATCAGTCCATTGCAAGAATTGACTATTTCTGTTCTCTGCTTTCAGTTCTTTAACCAGTTACTGATCCATTAGAGGACCTCTCCTCTTATTTCAGCACTGCTAAGTTTGCTCAGGAGTCTTTGATGAGGAATTTTGTCAAAGTCCTTTGGAAGTTCAAGTAACCAGTGTCTATCAGATCACCCCTGTCCACATATTTATTGACCTCCTCGAAGAACTCTAAAAGGTTAGTGAGACAGGGAAATATCTTTGTAGAAGACAACTTAATTCTTTTTCAGTAAAACTTGTGCTTCCATATACTTACTCATGCTATCTTTAATAATACTTTCCATCAATTTCCCTGAAACAGAACTTAACGGAAGTTTGACAGCAACAGAAGTGGAGCATTACCCCCAGTTCCCCTTTTTAAAAAATGGACTTAAATTTGCCACTCTGCAGGGACATGTTTCATACTTTTCTTACAAGATTAGCAGCATCACATTTGAGCTCTTAGAGGACTCTTGGGTGAAAAGTTTCAGCAACCACGTGATTTGTTAATTTATTACTAAAGTCTAAAACATTCTCTCTCTTCCCCATGATTTGCCTTAATTCTTAATACTCCCTTCCTGGAAGTAGCTGTCCTATGTTTTCTTTTAGTGAAATCAATTTAGCTTTTCTGTAATCACCTGATCCTCCATTAGTACTTCTTTAACTTTGTCATCCTCCAACAATTCAAGTACCTCCCTAGCCAGTTTCTTTTCAAAGAATTCTTTATTTTATGCATGATGCTTATTTATTTGTATTATTAATCTTATTATTGTTTTATTTTATTACTATACTGCCTGTAGCCAAAGCTCTCTGGACAGTTTCCAACCAAAAGATGGCACCAAGGAAGGCTATGTTGCTAGCGATAGGCCCTCAGTATAATCTTTTTGCATCTCTTATTGTCTATTTTATTCCATTTGTGTCCTTTTTTCTTCTTATTTGAGTATGTTATCCATTTTCTGAAGTAAGCCTTCTTTTCTGTGAGAGTTTCCTTGACCTTGTCTATTAAACACGCTACTGAATTTTAGACTCCCTACTTGCTTTCCTAACCTGTGGTATGCATTCCGGCCAAGTTTCAAATATGCAGCCTGCAAGCATATTTCACCGTCTTGACATTTTAACCCTCTTTAACCTTTTACCAATTAAAGGGTATTACATTGGACTTCCTTGTCAATTTTCCACTTAATCTGGCTCCCTGGAGGTCCTAATCTGACCCCTTAGTTTATCCCAGAAGGCCATGCCCCCTTTCCCCTAATCACATGCTAATTTGTGCTTTCCCAACTATTGTGCAGTTTTTCTTCCCATTCTAAAAATTTGAAATTGTTCTCCTAAGATATCTTGGCCCTACCCATTCTGCCTGCAGCCGTGACAACCACTGGAATGTAGTTCCTACCCAAGAGTCCCTTGCAAAGTGGAGTACAGCATCTGGACTGAAACAAGTCCTGCATACCTCACTATGGTCCCTGTTTTGAGCTGGTTCCACAAGGCTCTCCTCTCAGTCAAGGTTGTGGGTAGCACCACTTACGTTTAAGTTCAGGGTCACTTTCCAACTGTTTAGTTCCATTACCAACTTTTCTAGGGCACCGTCATTTCAAGTATAAAGAAATATAACCTCTTTTTCATAACTAGAACTTACTTGTATCCAGTCAGTGGGAGGACACATAGAATGTCTCCCCGAGTTCATTCTCCATCTTAAAATTGCACTCAGCATTATATCCAGGCAACAAACATGTGACCTCAATACTAAATTACTCAATATAAATATTAAATTACCACATTACCTTTTCTAGTTTGCTTGACATTTTGCCCTGTTACCCTATATGCTCCTCTAGACATGTGTACAAACCTGAGCATGTTCTGGAAATAAGCACTTTACAGGCTTTTTAACTTTGGCAATAAGGCACCTGACAGGAGAAACTGAATGATTCATACTTTGCTGCTTCAAGAGAAATTTGCTGCTTCAAGAGAAATTTGCTAAGCACAATCAAGAATTTAATATGTACACTCATTAATCAGTGAAACTAACTTGATAGAGCAGTAATGAGTCAAAAGGAGCAAGAACATACATCAACCTGTACGAAGCATCAGCAGACATGGGGAGACCCATATAGTGGAGGTCTCAACTGAATCCTAAGAGATCAAAATACAGGGAAACTGAGCAACAGTGTAGGGCAGCATTGTAACAGGAAAATGGTGTCCTGTGCCTCTTGGTGGTGTACTCCTGCGCTCACTCTTGGCTTTTTCAAGGGCTGGGCTTGTCTACAGGACTCCAAAGTTTACCCTACTCCAAAAAGTGGTTAAGATCCTGCCAACTGTGTGGAGAAGATTCAGTACTGTGGTCCCAGAATGGTACTGGTCCAACAGCCATGAATGGAATATTGCTAGTGGGACAGCAAGACATATTCCCAATCATTCAGCAAAAGGGGTTTGCCTGGAGTGGCCAGGTTTGCTCCGGGGAAGAACAAACAATGAGAGTTGGAGCCCTGAGTTTTTATACTGTTTCATTAAAGCTTAAAAATGGCAACATTAGCCATTCTGGGCTGAAGCAGTGGGTTAGTTGAAACCATTACAGATGCAAAAAGGGTGATTTGGGATTGCCAAATCAAGAAAGTGCCAAGGCTTTACCTTTCAAAACCTGACCCTTCCAAACAGGTAAGAAATTTCCAATCATACAGCTGGTCAATGATTTGATTTTGCCCTGGGGGAAATCACTGTACAATTGGCATATACATGAAGAATGACATTAGTATTTTGCTTATCCTAAGGCAGGTGAATTATTTTCAGTTCTAATTAATTTTGCTTTTGCTAGATCTGGCCTTGCTTAGTTGACTTTCTGTAAAGCAAGATCCCTTTGGTGTTACTTCTCCCACCTTGACTCAGGCAAGGAACCCTTAAAAGTAGTCCATGGTTGACAACTTTCCCAAGAGTGACTGCCCTGACTGCCCTACTCGAGCCCCCTTCCCTCTTTGAAATTCAGGGTCATCTATCTCCAGTGCTTTTTATCATACAGAGCCACATAAACTCCAGTACAAATTTCACTGTCCTTTCTATAGATTCTGCATCCAGAGATGACCGTATACCATTAGTTCTCTCTGTTCTGCCCTGACACCCGCACTAAGTTCTCCCTTAAGACCAAGCATTCCAGCTCTTCCTTCTTGGCTTGGGGGTATCTAGCATTCACACCTGATCCATGGTGTCCCTCTCCAGATGTCGAACATGTGCACCTTTTTCCCTAAAGCCCTTAAGTCTCCTTTGACTACTTATCATAATTTCCCCTATATTCAAAGTCCATTTTCATCTTGTTACCATTCAGCAAATCAAGACACATTTTCACTGTGATCCCCTTAGGATGATTCAGTGCAAGCCAAAGGCTTCCATGCTTCTGCACAACTCTTCTCCAGAATTCCTTCACAGAGTATTTTCTGCACACTGAATGAATTTGCATGGTAGTTAAATTTCCTTGCACAGAACTTTCAGAAAGGAACAAAGATGGTAGTCTGTATATACTTTATTTATTACTTTTATGGTTAAAGTGAAATTTCATAGCAATTGTACATAATTATCGCTGGCTGTTGTTATTATCTGTTTTAGCTGTTTAAAACTTTTAAATATTTTTTCTGATTTTCTGATATTTTTATTGTACTTTTACCATCTGTTTTTATGGACTATATAAACTTCCCAGAGTGCTTCAGCTGTTGGGCAGTATAGAAATGAAACAAAACAAAACAAACAATGTAACCTTATTTATAATTAGGTACACATAAGTATTTCCTTAGACCATTCTTACTCTATGAAGGATTGAACAATGATCAGCAGCAATTGTTCAATTTGTTTACTTCTGAAATAATTCGTTTTTATTGGATAGCTCATTATCTTGTCTTTTTTTACCTACACGTTCATCTTCATCTGATTTCTTCCCCCATTTTTCTCACTTGGAGATTTTCTTCCTTTCCAATATTTCATATATATAATTCACGCTGTTGTATCTTGGTGCTTAAGATAACCTGCAGCACTTCACAGAAGGAAAGCTTCCATTCCCCACCTCCCTCTACTGCCAGCTGTGTTGCGCCCTCTCCCTGGGAGCAGGGTTCTTCCAAGCAGTTTGGGCTGAGGTGCAGTGGGATGGTGGGAAGCTTTCCTTCAGGCAACTTTCTTCCAGGCATGACATTGGACAATCCCTCCTCCGACAGGAGCTCCTCCACCTAACCCTGGGTGCTTCCCAAACCCTGCAGAGAGAGATTTGTGTGGAGAAGTGGGCTGGATGGCTGAGAACGGGACAGAAACCTTTCCTTCCAAGTTTGTTAAATGAGAGTCCAAGACCTTGACACTAGTAGTTTATAACATTTTCTATTCACAGTCCTGAATGCTAGCCTAATTTCATTCATATTTGAAATTCTAATTATTCGACTCAACTTGGAGCATATGTGTCTGTTTTCTCACTCAGTCACCTCCTTCAAAGAAAAGAAAATTTGAAAAGCCCCGGAAACCAATTACATTCCTCGTCTTGGAATCTACAGCCAAAGAGTTGGCTACCAAAGCCTCATCTGTGGGAATAGATGCTGTTGAAGGAATGGCAGTAGTTGCTGCATGGATCAGAAAACTTCTTACAGATCTGAAGGTATTATTACCAATTTATTATTGTTTGCTTCAGTAAATGGCAAATGACTTAATAGATTCACAGTGAAATTCTGTTTGTGCTTGTTTTGATAGGTTCAGCATAAAAGCCTTCCTTGTGGAAATGATGAAGTCAGCTTGTTTCTAACAGCTCTAGAAAATTCCTGGATTCACTTAAGGAGAAAGAAAAGGGATCGAGTCAGACAACTACGTGAACTTCCTCGAGCATCTGTCGATTTCCTGCAAACCACAGAAGAAAAGGACCAGAAAAATCCAAGTAATACCACAGAATCTGAAGGAAACAAGAGTGAAACCAGCGAAAATGCATCTGTGGCACTTGGTCATGACCCTGAATCAGCAGAAGGTGATGGACTTAATAGTGAACCTGAAGTTAAAGAGGGAAACATCCAGGAACATATTGAAGAAATCAGAGAAGAAACACAAGATCTAGCTTTAGCAGGATTGAAAGATTCCAGTCCTGGAAAGGAGTCCATGGTCTTAATCACTGATAGTCAAGCTACTGAGACTGGACAGAGTGCCAACACCTCGAGTGAATGGTTCCTTTTCAAGTGTGTCTTAATTGTGAAGAAAGAGGGGACAAATTCCTTAGTAGAAATGCACTGGATTGAGGGACAGAACAGAGATTTAATGAACCAGCTGTGTACCTACCTAAAGAACCAAATGTTCCGCTTGGTCACAACTTAAGTACAAATGGAAATGAGGGAAAATACATAGGTTTTATTTGGATAGTCTTGCTCTTCTGTTTAATATATTCTATGATACCATTGCTGTGAAAGGTGACTTTTAAAAAATTCTTTTGAAGTGTGATGTTCTGAAGAATTATGCTGGTTTTCTAAAAAAAAAAAAAAAAAACCTGGGTTGGATCCAGACTAAATTAGTTGCATTTAGCCCTCATTTAAATCAGTGGGACTTAAGTTATGGACTAACTTATATACTTGATGCCAATGAAACCTAAGAGCGACTAATTTATTCTTGGTCCAGCCCTTCACTTAACAGCCTTTCAGTATTTTACTTGAGCAACATACATTTAGAAAATAGCACTGTAGCAGCTTTTAGAAGGGTAATGTTATTGTATAATCTTCATCTGTTTTTCCATCTGCCCAAAGGTTCTCCACTATATGTGTATCTTGCCTCCCTCGACAATTTCCTAGTAAATACTCCTGAACTTCAGATTGCAATGTAAACAGGTATTTTTCTACATAATGCAACTCCAGGTTTGAAAGAGTGAGGACTGGACAAAAATGGCACTGTTTTGTTTTGTTTGTTTTTGGCCATGAAATTGTGAAAACCAGTATTTGTAGTACTCTGATGAATCTTGGTGATAAACACATTATTTTTAAAATGTAAAGTTCACGTGTAGTTTGAATAAAACCAGAGTAGATGAAAAGCTAAGATATTTTCTCAGCCTGGCCTTGCAGATTTTATTTTATCAGTTCTGCTCTAGCACTGACTCAGCCTGACAGAAATTGAGCCAGCATGTGGAAGTTCATTTTTCAAATGGGCTGCAATTTGCCGATTTTTTTTTTAAAGAAGAAATGTTTGTGTAAAATTGTATAAATTGCAGAGTGGAAATCTATTTTGCAGATACCTGAATTAACTGAGAAAATGGAAGGTGGAATGAATGCATAAGCTGTCGGATGTGCTGTGGCACAATTGGATGGCATACAAATGTTTTAAATAAATGAGGATATTTTATGTAGACATTTTTTTCAAATTGCAATAGAGCTACACCCTTAAATTTATAGAAATATTTACACTGAGCTCCAAGATGAGCAAATTTTCCAGTGTGCACATCCCTAAACCAGAATGAGAGGAAGTTTTCAGTGTCTCATTACCATCAAGTCATCTCCAACTTCTGGAGTTTCTATGAATAAATGCCCTCCAAAACGTCCTCTCCTTGACAGCCCTGCTTAGTTCTTGTAAACTCAAAGTTGTGGCTTCTTTTATGTAATCAATTGTTTGTTATCATCAGGTCCCCCCCTTTTTTCACCTTTGCTTAGCATTACTGTCTTCTTTACTGAGTGTTGCCTGACATGATATGTTGTCTTTTCTGCTTCCAGGGAAGTTCTGGCTTGATTTGATCAAGGGCCCACCTGCTTTTCTGTCTTTGAATCCAGGGTATTCACAAAGATAGCGTGCAGGAGGTTTGAAAGGTATCAATTTTCTCCCTATCAGCTGTCTTCACTGTCCAGCTTTTGCATCCATCGGCAGTGACCAGGGGCACAGTAGTGAGGAAGATCTTGGCCTTTGTCCCCACTGAAACGCCTTTACGCTTGACAGTCTTTTCTGGTTCCTTCTTTACTGCCCTTCCAAGTCTCAGTCGTCTTTGAATTTCTTGGCTGCAGTCTCCAGCAGAATTTATGACTGAGCCAAAGTATGCAAACACTTTCACAATATCAGTTTCTTCAGTGTTGACTTAAAGTTGTATAATCTTGTAGCCTTGATTTTTGTTTTCTTCATGTTCAACTGCAGTCCTGGTTTTGCACTTTCTTCTTGCATTTTCATCAGAAATCATTTCACTTCACTGCTACTTTCTGCCAGTAATATGGTATCATTTGCATATCTCAAATTATTGATTTATCTTTCACCTGTTTTCATTCCTCCTTTCTGTGATCTAATCCAGCTTTCTTTATTGTGTGTTCTACATACAGATTGAACAGATAGGGAGATAAAATTCACCCTTGTCTGATGACTTTGCTTACGGGAAACCATTCTGTTTCACCATATTGTGTTCTGACAGTAACTTCTTGCCCACAATACAGGTATGCATTGGGAGATCAAATGCCCAAGCACCCCAATTTCTTTTAGGATCATGCATAGCTTCCACACAAAGACTTTGCTGCTGTATATAAAGCATAATCTGGTTTTCTTTTGGAATTCTTTGGTGCACTCCAGTAGTCAGTATATACCTGCAATATGATCTCGAGTGCGTCTTTCTTTTCAGAATCCACCTTGAAGATCAGGCATTTCTTACTCCATACAAGGTAATATTCTTTGTTGCAACACCTTGAGCATCACTTTGTTTACATGGGAAATTAGCGCAATGGGCTTATGGTTATTTCACTCCTTAGCAGCTTCTTTCTTTGGAACTGGAATGTACATTGAATGTTTCCAGTCGGTGAACCACTGTTACGATTCAGACTGATTCAGCTTCTGCAGCTTGGAATAGTTCTACTGGTGTCCTATCTACTCCAGGTCCTTTATTTCTTTCAAGTCCTTTCACTTCACTTCCTAATATTACAGGTCCTGTACAGTTCTTCTGTATATTGTTTCCACCTTCTCTTTATTCTATCTTGGTCAGATAGTGTGTTCTTATCTTGGTCTTTTAGGCTTGCATTACCTGCTTGTTCCTTGAATCTTCTGAAAGAGATATCTTGTTTTTCCTCTTTTGTTGTTCTTTTTCTTTACGTTGGCTATTTTATTAGTTCTTTTTCTCCTTACATGGTAGTTGCTGAAAAGTTGCATTCCAGATTCCTATTTTTGTTGCCTTATGTTTTTCCCTGTCCCTTTCAATTTTGTTTCTTCTGTCACCCATCTAGGCGCTTGTTCACATGCGCGCGCACGCGCGCGCGCGCGCGCTCTCTCTCTCTCTCTCTCTCTCTCTCTCTCTCTTTCTCTCTCTCTCTCTCTCTCTCTCACACACACACACACACACACACACACACACACACAGAAATTGTCTTTTGGCATTCTTCCCTAATGTCTGTGGTTTCAGTGCACAGTTCTTTTGATTCACAGTCAGTTGAATCGAGTAATGCAAATCTGTTATTTATGTGGACTTTAAATTCCTTAAGAATCTTAGTTGAGTTGCATTTTAACATTATGCTTCTGTTAGTCATCTTTTTCCGCTTTACTCTGATTTTTTATATTAACGTGAGCACTACTACAATCTGGGCCTGGTCTTGTTTTGGCAGTGAAAGTACAGATTCTCCATCTTCCTCTTCAGTTATGTAATCTGTATGAGATCTATATTAGCCATCTGGTTATGCCCGTATGTGCAGTCGTCTGTTCGGTTGCCTGAATTATGTATTTGCAGTAAACTGATTGTTGGCTTCACAGAATTCTGTGAGTCATTCTCCTGCTTTGTTTCTGACCCTTTGTCCAAATTCTCCCACAACATTTGATTCTGCTTTGTTTCTTACTTTTCCCAGTCACCTAGGATTATTATCAGCATGATTTGCTGTTTTATGGTATGGTGTGTTATCAACTTCCTCATGAATGCTTGCATAGAAGTTTTCAATTTCTTTGGCATCTGTTGTTTGGGTGTAGACTTGAATGATGGTTATGTTGACAAGTGTTCCACAAATGCTGATTGATATTATTAGGTTGGTCTTTGCACTATAGCCCATTACTCCCTGTGCTATGTCTTGCCTCAGTATTAGAGCCACTCCATTTCAGTTGGTCATTTTCCAAATAAAACTATTAGTTTAACTGAAACGGTGGTCTCTGTGCATCACACATATGGGTGCTGCACCTGCTCAGTGCCATGTTCGGGAAGTTTCTTCTAGTTAAGCCTAGAATTTTTGGCAGGAGCCTCACCTCCCCTTCCCCATTATATAAATAGGCAGGCTCCCGCCATTTTCTCAATCCAACTGGAGACCATTGTTTGCCCTGTGTGTATGTCCCTAAGTGTCCTACCACTATGTAAATAATAGATAAAAGGAGAGAGAAATATACATACATATATATCCACTGATACTGACGTGGGCCTGGCAGGTGAGTTGTGCAAATGCACGTATGACCACTCGAAGAACAACGGTTACAGGTATGCAGCCTGCCTTTACAGCCCATGTTAGTTTGCTTACACAAAGTACTCCAATGTTTAACTGTTTAATTTCTTGCTTTACCGTTTCCAGTTTTCCTTGTTTGATAATTCACATGTTCCAGTTATATGTGGGGCTGTATGTGGGACTGCCCTTGAAGTCAGTCCGGATACTTCAGATGGTGCAAAATAGAGCTGCCAGGATGCTGTTGGGGACTGGTCATTATTCTCACATAACTCCAGTCCTCTATCAGCTCCATTGGCTTCCCGTCGAAGTCCAGGCTCAATTCAAGGTGCAGGTTATTACCTATAAAGCCCTAAATAGCTTGGGACCAAGATACCTAAAGAAACGCCTTTTTCCCTATATACCTCCCACCCCCTAAGATTGGCAGCAGAGGCCCTCCTCTGGGAACCCTCTTTGAAAAAGGTCAGGAGTCAGAGTACACAGAGGAGAGCTTTCTCTGCGGTGGCGCCCCGACTATGGAATCCACTCCCTAGAGAGGTCCGCCTGCTGCCGTCATTATATGCTTTTCGGCGCCAGGTCAAGACCTTTTATTTGACCAATATTTTAACATAAAGTAATTTTAATTGTATTAGAATTATTTAAGTTATTTTAAATAGGTTAGTTTTATGCTCAGTTGTGGAGTAGTTAATTTATTTAATTTAGGATTTGAAATAATGTAAGCTGTCCAAAGATGACAGTGATGGACAGCCTACAAATTTTCTAAATAAATAAATATGTGTCGTGCAGTTTCCGACTTTCCTTTTGCCTCTGTGCATATCAGCTGTTACACTTCCTTTCAGCTGTGATCTAGTTTTGTCATTAGAGACAGCAGTATTCATCCTCCACTCTTCCCCTGTAACTGAGTGTTTTCTGAACTGGGGGTCTAAACTTGTAGTGTGTTTTTGTTTTATTTTGGATTGTTTCATCATTGTGTTTACAGGGTAAGAATATTCAGAAGTGGTATACCATGGCTGCCTTCTGTGCAGTACTAACTGGAGTTAGTTTGAGCATCATTGCCATTGTCTGTGAAAGATCCTCTGCCCGTTTTACCTTCAGCTACTGCTTCTGCCCAGTAGCTGCTTTTCAGGAGTTTCTCTGCCCCATCACCATTACAAATATCCATTCTCTTCTGCTGAATGTATTGTTATTCTTGAAGAGGCCGGGTGCATCTTAGTCGGGTGTCTGAACTTTGACCATTCTGCCATTTGACCCTGCTAGAAGACCAGCCCAGTAAGAGAGTCTGGTCTCCTGGCGGCATTGCTCTTGGCTTCTTTGGCACTCTTAAACCCCCTCACCACATTAAGGTGTGCATGAGCAGGTGATTTCATTATTGCCACCAGTAATACATATCATAGTAATGACAAACTAAAGCTGTAATCCTAAGCCTGGGGGTAACCCTCGTTGAGTTCATTGACACTGTTTAGATGACTATGTTTTGATTGAATAAAATATGAATTAGGGTTTTGGCAGTGTGCATACATTCATAGTATTTTTTAAAAATAACTTATTTTTCTGATAAACAATTCATTACAATTCCCTGAATGACCTCATGCTGTTTACTGGCAAATCATGCAGTTGCAACAACCTCATGAGTTCCTTTGCTCTCTTGCTTTCCATCTGGCAAACAAATAGT